CCTTTGCCTCCTAGTTCTTTCCTCTATTTCCTTTTACTTTCCTCTTGTCCCACTATCATGTTCAGCCTTCATTTGGGTTTCAGTAATATCTCCCAGTTACATTTCCCTTGATCAAGCCCTACCAGGTCTCCTACACCTTCCTTGCCATCAATTTTGGATCACTTTGTTCCCTTGTCCCTGGGTTTGTTAACACCCATTTTCTTTCCCTCCTCCCTCCCTCTCTCCCATGTTCCCCTGGAACTGTTGGTCCCATTGTTTTCTCCTCCAGATTGTTTATACTGCCTATCTTATCTAGAGCTAGAAACTCAGGGAATCCGGGACAGATAAACCCTTCAGGACCAATAATGAGAGTAGCGATACCACCATTTCAGGAGGTAGCATATGAGCAAGATCCAGGGAAGAAAGAAGTTCAAGCTGTACTGAGAGCATTAGCCAAAAACAAGGCTCCAGGAATTGATGGACCATCAATTAAAATGTTTCACCAAGCTGATGAAGCACTGAAAGCACTTACTTGTCTATTCCAGGACATTTGGAAGACAGTTACTTGGCCAATTGACTAGAAGAGATCCATATTTGTGCCCATTCCAAAGAATGGTGACCCAACAGAATGCTCAAATTATAGAACAGTATCAATGTTATCACATGCAAGTAAAACTTTGTTGAGTATCATTCAACAACAATTACAGCAGTATATTACAGGGAGCTGCCAGAGGTTCAGGCCAGATTCAGAAGAGGACATGGAACAAAAGATATCATTGCTGAATTCGGATGGATCTGGGCTGAAAGTAGATAACAACAGAAAAATGTTAACTTGTGTGTTATTGACTATACCACAACAATTGACTCTATGGATTATAACAAAACAGAGAAAGCCTTCAGAAGGATGAGAAGCCCAGAAGACTTCATTGTGCTCATGCAGAGCCTGAACATGGCTCAAGAGGCATCTGTATGAACAGAACAAGGGAACACTGCATGGCTTAAAATCAGGAAAGGTGTGTGACAGGTTGTGTCCTCTCACCATACTTATTCAAACTGTATGCTGAACAAAGCATCAGAGAAGCTGGTTCATATGAAGAAGAAAATGTGGCATCAGGATTGGAGGAAGGCTTATCGACAACCTGCAGATGACACAATCTTGCTTGCTGAAAGTGAGGAGGACTTGAAGTACTTGCTGATGAAGATCAAGGATTGAAGTCATCGGTATGGACTACAGCTCAATATAAAGAAGACCAAAATCCTTACAACTGGACCACCACAATAAATGGAGAGAAGGTTAAAGTTGTCAAGGATTTTGTCTTGCTTACATCCAATCAGTGCTCATGCACGCAGCAGAGATCAAAAGAAGTGTAGCATGAAGTAAATCTGTCCCAGGAGGCCTTTTTTAGAGTATGGAAAGGCAGCATGTTACAATGAGAACTAAAGTGGGTCTCACAGCAGTAGAGGTGAAAACTAGGTTTCTTTCAGTTACTTCTCTAACAAGTAATGCAAATATTATTTTCTGTTTTTTTTACGGGGAGCAGCTGACAGTGCAATGGTTAAAGAGCTCAATTGCTAACCAGAAGGTCAAGAAAGCTAGAAACCACGAGCAAGCCAGCTCCTCTCAGGACAAAGATGAGACTTTCTACTCCCATAAAGAGTTACAGTCTCAGAAACCCACAGGGGCACTTCTACTGTGTCCTATAGGGTCCCTATTGAGTCAGCATTGATTTTTGAGCAGCTTCTCAGGAGAAAGAAGCGACGATCTACCTTCCATCAAGATGACATTTTGGAAATTCCATTGGACAGTTCTACTTTGTTCTCTGGGTCATTATAAGGAGGAGACTGGCACTAATTGTTGATACGGCTTATCCAATTTCACCAACTATAGAAGCAGTGTAATCGGGTTTCAATCAATCCTGTTTCAACTCCACAGCTGAGTTTATTTCTACCCTCTGTCTTCCTTACATATACATAAATCTTGTATACTCATTTGGAGTTTAAAAATAAACAGGCCCCTCTCCCAACCCAAATTAAACAAACAAACACA